TTCCTGTTGGGAATGCTGCTTCATGCTCTGGCTGCTTCTGTCCGAGACCTGGCGTTTCTGGGCAAATGGAGCAAATGACTGCTGGGACGTGTCTGACCCCCGGGCACAGGCGAGGACAGCAGTGCCAGGCTGGGAGGGGGGAGCTGCATGCCCCCGACCTTGGCTCCTTCTGCTGCTCCTAACAGCTGCTCTCCCCTCCTGCTTGCAGGGCCAGCGAGGTCCTCAGGTGAGGCAGGAGACCGAGAACGCCCTCGAAGCTGAGCAGTGTCGCCGGTGCAGGGTGAGATTGGCAGAGGGTTGAACGCCGACTCTTCCCAGGCGATGGACAGAGTCACCAGGCACCTGGTCTTCCAGCACCCGCAGACCTCGCTCAAGCAAGATTATCACGATGCTTACCAAGCTGGCTCGTTTGCAGAGCAGAGGGCTGACAGCGACGACGACGTGTTTGGCTCTGCTCAACACGGCAGCCAGAGTGTGGAAAACGGCTATGGCTGGAAAACGAGGTCCAAGTCACCCTCGTATTTCCTGGATGGTGGAAAGGATGTTTGGACCCCGTCTCCGGACAGGGAGTCCAAGCTGGAGGTGGTGAGGTCGGGAAGCCTGTACGACCTCAGGGCTTACAGAGGCGAGAGGAAACCCTCGAAGCTTTACGATGAGGATGAGCAGGAAGAGTACAGGGTCCCTCCACCAAACATCTCACCCCAGAAAGCCAAGGAGCTTCAGGACGAGAGGAGGGAGGTCATCCAGAGCCAGGTGGTGAGGAAGAGCTCCACCGTGGCCGAGAGGTGGAGTTCCATGGATGAGCTGAGCTCCATAAACACCGGCACGGGCAGCCAGGGTGAAGGCAGGCACCCGGGCAGCTTCGCCATTTGCTTTGACAAGCCTTCCTCGGGGAGGGCAGCAACGCCTGTTGACCCTGAAAATATTGACACGGAGCAGATCAACTTCTCTGCTGCTCGGCAGCAGTTCCTGATGCTGGAGAAGACCAACCCGGGCTCTTTTTTCAGCCCAGGGCAACAGGCCATGTCTCCAAAGCCAGAGTCGATGACAAAAGTCTCTAGGCAAGAGTGGCATAGTCCTGAGATGGCCACGAAGGCCGCAAGAGGTTACGGTAATGCCAGTGCATCCAGCCAGAGCAGGACGGACAAGACCGTGTATCAGGTTTATAGTGTGTCCTACAAGACACCTGTGAAGGAGGAGTGCTATGCTCCCAGAAGGGCTGATACTGAAAAATCGTATCCCACCGGGAAAACGTTCAGCTTGACTCAAGCATCTTCCAGAGAGGACCTGGACTCCGGCTTGGGTGAGATGTATAACGAAGCCAGTGCAGGCTACACCAGCGACGGAAGCACATCCACCGAGATCTTCAGCGGCCTTGTGGATCTGGGGGCCACCAGCAGTGGTCTGGACAAGGAGACCAAGATCAGCAACGAGACGCCCATCGAGCGGGAGATCCGCATGGCGATGGAGAGGGAGGAGAACCTCTGGAAGGAGAGGGGGATCCAGCGGCTGACCTCCAGCAGGGAGCTGGTGGAGATCCCGACACAGGCTCCTCTCTCCATGCCTCCAGCAGGGAGCGGGTGGAGATCCAGACCAAGCCTCTCCTCTCCATGCACGTCTCTCCTGGCCCAGGCAGGAAAGGGAAGGACAAAGGCCGCGCTTCCCTTTACGTCCAGAGGGAAATTGAGCAGGAAACCAAGCGCGAGGAAGATCTGAAGAAGGAAGGGAGGCTGCTGGGGACGTATGACAGGGGGACGCAGCAGGAGCTGGACGAGCGCAGGAGGGTGTTTGAGCAGGAGGAAGCCCCCCCGCAGAAGCCCACCCCCACGAGGAAGGCGGACGAGCGTAGGAGCTGGGTTAATGAGCTTGCGGCAGAGCAGCCCACGAGCCACGGCCCTGCAGAAGACACCAGGGGTGGCAGAAGCTTTCCCAGCTACGCAGCGAGCACCACGCACTTCCAGGCGTCCCAACCGCGCTTCGCCGCCAGCGAGAAGAGCTGGGAGCAGCCCCCGGTGTCCCAGCGCGTTTCCGCCAGAGCCAGCAAATGGGGGAGCGAGGATTCCCAGGGAGGAAGGCTTCCCGGCTCCACCCTGAGCCCTGTCGGCACCGCTGTCCTGCCCAGAAAGTATTTCTCCTTCTCCTTCTGGAAGCCCGAGGTCTCCTTCGTGGACGACATGGGGACGCAGAACCCGCTGCGGAGGGAGGATGGCCGGGAGGAGCAGTACAAGCTGAGGACCTGGAAGCCCCACACGCTGGCGCTGATTGAGAAGGAGATCCGGAGCGACTTGCAGAGGGAAGAGGAGCTGCAGGAGCAGCGGCGGCGGCAGCTGATAGACGGCTACTCCGTGGTCAGCAGTGACGGCGTTCCCCAGGAGGGCTCCCGCTCGCGGCACAGCTCCGGTAAGGGGAGAAGAGGAACGGCGGGCTGGGACGGGGCAGGGGTCAGTCTCGGGGCAGAGCTACCATGGGCATCGCTCCTGCCCTCCCGTTCCTTGTGGCTCTGAGTCCCAGCAGGAGCCATCAGAGGGGTCAGGAGAGGCACCGTGGAGTGCCCGTCCCAAGGGACCTTCCCGTGCAGGCAGGCCCCTGCC